TAGGAAACCGCCCCCCAATGACAGAGCAAAGGGTGAGTGTGCCGTCAGGTCCCCACCGCAACGGCTTTGGCTTTGTGGAGTCTCCACGGCGGTTCAGCACCGCCCTCTGACCCACCCCGCTTCCCTTCTCCTGCTTTCATGGGGCTGGTTCCTCATAAACACCTTGTGCTCTAAACCGGAGCTCTGCATCCGCCTCCAGGGAACCCGTCCTCTGACGAGCATGGCTGCTTCTCCACCAGCCGCCAGAAGAGAGCCACCCGCTCTCTTTTTAGCAAACTCCCTTGCTGATTCTGATGGCTGGACAGCTTAGGAGCTGGCAGAGACCTGAGGACCCGATTCTGGGGGTCGGAGGGAGGAAGGCACACAACAGGCGATGAGACCTCTCAGCTGGATCCTGGATCCTGCCCTGTTATCAAAGCCTGAAGCATAGCTGATTTTGGAAAACATGTTCCCCAGAACTGGAGAAAGAAGGGTCCTTCTGCACTGCTGGTGGAGTGTAGACTGTGGTAGCCATTTTGGAAAGTGGTGTGGAGCTTCCTTAAAATCCTGCAAATAAAATCCTGCCAGTCCTGGTGGCCTAGGGGTTCATCTCTGCAGTATCACTTCTACAGCCTGAGTTCGATTCCCGGCCAGGGAGCTGACCCACATGGCACAGAGCCTCACTGTCTCAGCATCCCTTGCAGCTATGGTAGGTATGTGATCAGTCACATAATCAGCTCTGCTCAATCAGATGTGTGCTCAATTAGTGCAGGAGTTCAGGAAATTGCTTCAAGAAGGCTTTATCTTTAAGATAAAAGGGACAGAGGAATTTTGCCTCCTTTCTTTTGTCTTCCCACCTTGAGAAGGACTGAACAGGCTTCAGTCGTAAAACCACAGGGAGAAGCCAAGAGGTACCAGCAAAGGCCTGGTTTTCTTTTATCTTTTTAAAAAAGATTTATTTATTTATGCACACAGCACTGGGGTACAGGGCAGAGGTGCAGGGGTGGTGAGAGGACTCACCAGAGGCAAAGTGGGGAGCAGAACAGGCAGATCGACGAAGTACATTGCTGAGGGGAGCAGCGGGGAGGCAGGAGAGGTCTGTTGCACCGTGTGGATCACCCCTCTGGCTGAGGCGGCTGCAGTTAGCTTCCTAGCACTGCACTTTTAACCCCTTGCGACACCAAGGAGGGCCCAGGGTCCTGGTTTTCTTGAGCCATTAAATCAAGATCAACAACTGCCTCCCTCTGCACCTCCTATGACCCAGGGGTGAGGAGGGTGAAAAGCCCTTGCTTGGGCAAGCCACGGCCCTTTGGGTTTCCAGTTCTTTGCAACCAAGAGCATTCTCCCTGTTGCAATCACCTCTCGTTCCTTCGTTTTCTCTGTGCCCTCAGGATCCATGTGGAGATACTGAGGTCCAGGCTGCGGGGGGGCCTTCCCCGGGTCACATGCGGAGCCACGAGTCTCCTGACTCACCATCCAGTGCTCTGCCACACACCCTAGTCTCTTTCTCTGGAAGATTCAGGCTGCTGTAGACAAGGCCAACAGCTGCTTCATAAATTAAACATCAGGCAGCGATGACCTTGCCCCGAATCCTTCTAGTCTCTTACGTAAATAGCCCCCAGTCTCCACGCCTTTGGACCCACGACAGCTTCCCACATCCTTCAGCCAGCGGAGATGTCCCAATGTCGAGCCCGTGCCCCTGGAAAGGTGTGAGTCACGTCCAGGGAGCAGGAGGTTCACAGCCAGGAGGCTGCCAGGCCTCGCGCTCCAGCCCCCAGGCTCACACGGTGCTTGCTTGGATGCCTGAGTCATCTGGAGCTTGTGGTCAGTTCTGACACTCAGGTCGTTTTCTGTTCTTGTGCCCTTTCACGAGGTGCTGTCAACGTTCCGTCTATGCTGCCTTTCCCCTCTTTTTGTTATTTATTTGTTTAAAAATATTTATTAATTTATGCACACAGAACTGGGGTACAGGCCGGAGGTGTGGGGGGCGAGAGAATTCATCAGAGACAGAGTGGGCAGATCTACTGAAATGGACTGGTGAGGGGACCAATGGGCAGGTCTGCGGCGCCATGTGGGTCACTCCCTGGCCGGGGATTGAACTCGTGCGACAGTGGCTGCAGACAACTTTATGGTGCTGTGCTTTAACCTGTAGAGCCACCAGGGAGGGCCCTATTTCTAGAGGATTATATAAATACTAATAATTGCGCTTCCTGTATTCTGCGTGCTTTAAATAACTTAAGTCTCCCCCCCCTGAAAAATCACCATCTGAGACAAGTGATAGTATCGTTGATATGTCAAAGACAGGACTACTAAGGCTTAGAAAAGTTAGCTGCTCAGGGCCATAGCACAAGGCATATTTGGTGGAACTGGGGTGCAACGATGTGTGTTGGCCTCTGATGTCAAGCTCTAAAAGGCAAAACCAGTTGACTCCATTATGAGAGTTTCAAGACTCCACGGCAGCGGTTTAGATGACTGTAACGTTTATTGTTTATTTCGATGGCAACTGGACATAGGATGCATTTGGCATCTCGAGGTGGCCAGAAAGGAGAGGCTCTTTACACAGCCCCTCTTGTCCCGAGGCTGGTCACCTAAAGCCACTAGATGATCGCCAACATCACTCATTACCTCTCCACATAACAGTGTCCAAACAGGAAGGGGAGAAAAAGGATAGACAGGTCTCCTCTCATGCACCTTTCTTATCAGAGAAGAGCCTCTTTCCCAGAAGCCCCCAGCCATTTCCCTTTGGCCAGTACCGGGCCAGATGGCCATCCTGAGACCAATCACAGGCCCAGGAAGACGGGATGGCTGTGGTGGCTAGAACCAGACATGGCTATTTCCCAGGCCAGCTGAGCACGCGTGGCCGGCTGGGCAAAGTCAAGGTGCTGTCACAGGAGGGAAGAGCAGAGTGACGACGGCCAGCGTTGCCCTGGTCTGACTTGCCCGCGCTCAGATTTAGCACAGGCACCGTTGTTAATTGCAAGATTACTGGCCATACCCAGGGGAGCAATATTTATGAAGTTTTTATGCACCTATGAAAATATATATTTACATAGCTAACTCATCAGTTATGAATTCACAGTTAGGACTTCTTCAGATGAAACAACTGTGTTTGTTTTCTTTCTTTTTTAAAGATTTATTTATTTATGCATACAGAACTGGGGTACAAGCCAGAGGTGCAGGGAGAGGGGTGAGAGGATTCACTAGAGACAGAGTGGGGAACAAAATAGAGCCAGAGTGGGGAGCAGAACAGGCAGATCGATGAAGTACACCACTGAGGGGAGCAGCGGGCGGGTCAGGAGAGGTCTGCCACGCCGTGTGATCACCTCCAGGGCAGGCAGGGATCGAACTCATGCGGAAGTAGTTTTAGCTTCTCAGTGCTGTGCCACCAGGGAGGGCCCCAACTATGTTTGTTTTTTAAAAATATATGTGACTTAAAGACATTAAGGAAATAATAGTTCTTCTATTTCAAGTTTAGCCCTTGAAAGAGTAGCAAATGCTGCTCTATATTCTCCTAGCTGGCACATTTTTTCCAATTTTGCAGAGGCTTCCTGCCTCCAACTTCCCCTTCCTCCCCCTTCTCTCCCTCTTGAGGAAAATAAACACCCACAAAGATTTTTGCATCATCTGCAAATATGATTCAAATAAAGCCTCCGGCTCAAATCTAATCCAGGCTGCCTCGGCCGGGAAAGGCAGGCATCTGACTGCAGTCCTGTCCTGGGATTTCACCTCTGCCTTAGTGGTTTTGCAGTTTTATTGGGCCTGCCTCTCCCGCTGTAAGCTGCTGCAAATCCCGATTCTGAAAGAACAAGATACAAACAATAAACAGAGTGACCGCTTGAGATTTCTTGTCCTTGTCAGGAATTCTCAAACTTTCCTAAGACACGATCTCTTTTCATTTAAACAAGAATTCAGAGTCCATCATGAGAAGCAGATAAAGAGAGGGCGGCCCAGCCCGGCAGTGGGATATGCCGAGCCTTCGTTAACGGGGATGAAGCGCTTCAGTTGTGCTCTGTCCACAGTCCCAGGTTTGTGGTGTAGAGAAGCCTTTGGAAAGGTGATCACCCACCAGTATCAGGGACCCCAACCTGGGATCTATGGCAGCATGAAAAATGCGGACCAGTATAACCCAGGGCTTAGCAAATGCCTTCTGTTGGGCCCCGTGGGTGACGTGGTCACATCGTCAACACATGGCAAACGGAGAGGGCTGTGTCCCCATAAAACTTTATTTATGGACACTGAGACTTCAGCTTAATTTCCTATAATTCTCATGTCATAAAGCAGTATCTTGTTATTTTTTTCCCACCCATTAAAACACATAAGAAAATGCAAAACTCCATCTTAACTTGTGGGCTGGACACAAACAGAGACGAGTTGGGTGTGACCCAGGGGCTGTGGTTTGCCAATTCCTGGTAGAAACCATTAGGGCAGGGAGAAAAGGACAGTGAGACGCAGGGAATAGAGAGATCTGCCCTGCATTATAAGCGTATGGACGTGTGTGCAAACACGTTTGGAGACAGGGAGAGATCTGTTTATACCTCTCCGAGGACACATAAGAAGTTGGCGGCAGTGAGTACATCCAGAGGAACTGGAAAGATCAGATGAAGGTAGAGGGAGATGTTCCCCCCCACAATCCTTTTACACTGTCAACTTTCCTCCATGTGTTTGTGTTATTTTTAGAAAGCAGGAAACATTGGCCCAAGCATAACCCCCACGGTCCACGCGATGGAAAACAGCACACCTGCTTGACTGCAGGGGGCGCCCTTCTCAGGGTCGTGATGGAACAGAGCCCTGGAGTAGAGCAGGGCCGACTCCCTGTTGCATCCCTGTGGGCAAAAAGTCAACGCCAAAGCTTTGTATGACGTGAAATTGATAAGTAAATACGGAGAGGAGGTGGGGGGGGTGGGGGGAGGTGGTTGGAGGAGGAGTGACAGAATCTCACTGTTTCCGTTTTTTGCTGTTTCTTATCTGGGTCATGGTAAAACCAAGGTTCTACCAATATTTACTTTTGGTCTTTGTTCCAGAGTCAAGAAAAGATGCCCGGGCTGGGGCTAAATGAGAGGGTGGATTGAGAGGCATGAGAAGGAAAGAAAGGCACTCAACTCTAAAATCATCTCAAGATCCTAAATATGAAAATGCCTGTTCATTTCACAGAAACACTTGCCGGCAAAATCGCTGGCGTCTGACTTCCCCAGAAATCCATTGTACGTATTTTGCTGTAGCTTGGATCCCACATGGCGGCCTCTTGTCTAGGTAAGTGTGACCGGACCCTCCTGTCTGAGTTCCAGGATTAGTGACCAGCAATGGTTTCCGAATCAAAACACAAATATACAAGTGTCTGGTGTCCCTTGAAACACTTGGAACATGACACATGTGCCCCACAGTTCTACCTAGCAACCTGAGCTGGCAGCCAAGTGCTACTTGCTTTTTATCACTGGAACAGGGGTGACCACTTTGCTTCAGTCCCCACCGCTCCTGGTAACCTGCCGTCAGCACTGCTTCACTCACTGGTTTCATTTACGCTTCGTTTACTCAACCAATAGTTCTTGAACACTTTCTGTGTGCTGGACACCAGGGTTATAGCTGGGAAGGAAACACAAAAATTCCTTGCCTCATGGAATTTAAGTTCCCTTTGGGAATACGGATGATGAATCCAAAAGAAGAGGAAATAGGGCCCTCCCTGGTGGCGCCACGGGTTAAAGCACAGCACTAGGAAGCCGTCCGCAGCCACTGCAGCACGAGTTCGATCCCCAGCCAGGGAGTGACCCCTGGCACAGCAGACCTCTCCTGACCCGCCCGCTGCTCCCCTCAGCAGTGTTTCAGTCAGTCTGCCTGTTCTGCTCCCCACTCTGTCTCTGGTGAATCCTCTCATCTGATACACCACTGGCCTGCACCCTAGCTCTTGTATGCATAAATAAATAAAGCTTTTAAATAAATTTTAAAAAAGGAAATGCACAAAAGGCCAGAGAGTGGTAAATTCTGTGGGAGAAAATAATAGAGCAAAAGTGGCGAAGGCATAAAGGAATGGAGGCCCTTCCAGAAGGTCACGAAGGCCTTCCTGGCTGGGAAGGTGACATTTGAGCAAAGACCTGCAGCAGGTGAGAAGCAAGCCTGCAGAACAGCCAAAGAGACAGCAAGCGCAAGGTCCCTGAGGCAGGCTGTTCCTCCGTGTCTGGAGAGTGGTGTGTTTGGAAAGGAGTCAGTGAGGGAGAGATTGAAATGATGAAGTCAGGGAGGTGGCGGCGCACAAATCTTACAGGGCTCCTAGGATCTTTGTCTTTTAATCTGAACCAGGGAACAAGAGAGGAAGTGGGAAACCAAGGATCCTCTCTTGCAGCCATCCAAACCGGGGCAGTGGCTGTGTAGGCAGGAACATGTTGCCTCTGAACATTCTCACCACTCGGAGCTTATGAGAAACTCCCCTCACTCTCTGCTCCAGTCAGGTCATCTCTGTGTGGATCAACCCCAGGGCCTTTGCACTTGCTGTCCCGCTGCCTCCAGATATGCCCAGGGCTTCCGCCTTGACTTCCTCAGGTCTAGCCACGCTGCTGAAAGAGCCCACTCACCCCTCGTCCTGCTCGGCTTTTCTTTCTAGTTCACCTCCTGACATAGGTGTCTCCTCGGTTGTTTTTGTTGTTGTTTTCTTTTTTTGCCTGTCTTCTCCTCAGAGCGTCAGCGTCTTGTTTCCCCTGGAGTATAGAACTGTGCCTGAGGTGAAGTACATCCTCAGTAGAGAGAGAGAGGGGGAGAGAGAGAGACGATCTTGGTCCTGCCTCTCGTCACTGCGTGCCCGGTGCATTGGCTCTCCTCCCAGCAACGTCCGCTCTAATGACGGGCCCAGCCACTACCCTATGGAGCTGTTGTCGAGGAAGGTACTTGGTGGAGGGACCTTGGCAGCAGGCAGGGCCCTTAACATTTGCCCGTAAGTGGTTGCTAAGAACCCTCAGAGAACGAGAGAGCGTTGCTGGAAGAAGCTGCCCACACAGGCGCAAAGAAGGAAGAGAGAAGCACGTTTGTCTTGTGAAGGCACAAGCCTGTTTTTTTTCCCCCCAGGATTTTCCATAAGAAAACACAAGGGAATCCAAGAATCCCAGGGTGCCGTCCAGGAGGCCGGCCCTGCCACCTGGCCCCTGCCTGCCCTGCTCTGCTCTCTCCTGTCACCCCTGCAGCCCCACCGCCTCTCACGTGGCCTTGAACTCTCTGCACAGCTGGCAGTGCCGTTGTCTCCGGCTGTTCTCTCCCTCCTCTCAGACTCTGCCTGCCCCTTGAGTCTGCCTCTCCTCCTCCACTAGCCGGCGCGTCTCCTGCCTGCCCATGGATCCGCTGCTTGTTGGATAGTGTCCTGAGTTCAGGTTGGAGGGGGTGCTGGCATGGGAAGAGCAGATGAGTACTAAATGATGGGTGTCCGAGCAGCAGTGGGAAGCCAAAGAAAGAGCCAGCACTACCCAGCACCTACTGTCTACCAGGTACCGTTCCAAGCCCGTCACACACCTGCTGACCACGTGGTTGTTACGTGAGCCCATGGGCTGGGGGCCGAGAGAACCCCCATGTGACAGTACTTAGCCAGTGGAGAGGCAGGACTCAAGAGGGGAAGATGGGCTCCAGAACCCACCCCTCCACCGCGCCTCTGTTGCCCTGCGCATTCCTGGCACTCACCTGGGGCCAGCGCAGGTGCTGGCTGTGGCAGCCATGAGGTCGAGCTTTCCTCGGTGTTACCTCCTTAGCTGCACAAAGTTCCTCTGATGCTTAAGTAGCCCCATACACAGATGAGGAAACAGGCACAGGAAGATGATGGGCTCCTGTTCACACAGGCTGTTTTCTCAGATACTCACAGCAGTATCGCCACTGCCTGTTTTATCTTCTTTTTTTAAAAAAAAAAAAAAGTTAATAGCTTTATTGAGATGTAACTCGTGTATCACAAAATTCAACTTCTTAAAGTGTGCAGGTTTTGGCACCTTCGCAGCATTAGACAAGTGTCACTCCTACCAAATTTGACAGTATTGTGGTTGCTCCTAAAAGAAATATTCTCCTCATTAGTTACTCCCTGCTTCCCCTCCCCAGCCCCTGATAACCACTAACTTACATTATTCTCTGAATTTGCCCCTTCTGTCTGTTTCCAATAAGTGGAACCATACAATATGTGGCTTTTTATGGGTGGCTTCCGTCACCTGGCATGATTTCAAGGTTCATCTATGTAGAGTGTATCAGAACTACATCCGTTTTAACGAGTGTGTAATATTCCACCATGTGATTATGTCTTGTTTTCATCTGTTGATAGACATTTGGTTTTGTGTAGGTATAGATTTTCATTTCTCTTAGACATATACCTAGTGGGTGGAATTGCTGGATCATGTGGTGAGTCCGTGTTTAACCTTTTGAGAAGCTGCCAGAGTGTTTTCCCAAAGCAGTTGTCCTTGAAGCTGTTCTTACAAAGGGGCCTAGACACTCTTCCCATTTCTTTCCATGAGGTATCTCCCTTTTCCCTGGCCCCCCTCCCCTTGAAGCTTGGATGACCTTTATAAAGAGTACAGTGAAAATGACCCTACCTGACTTCCAAGGTCAGATCATAAAAATGCTCTGCATTTCCCTTGTGTTCTCTGGGAACACTTGCCCTGGGTGCCAGCCACCATGATAAGAGGAAGCCCAAACTAGCTCACAGGACAAGACCACATGGAGAAGTCAGACAGAGGGGCCCTGCCCCTGGCCCAGCCAAGAAATCAGCAGCAACCGCACAAGGGAAGAATCTCCAGATGTTGCCAGCTTCCAGCCACTGAGTCACCTCCAGCCTGTAAGTCTCCCCAGCAGAGACCCCAGATCATGGGGCAGAGACAAGTTATCTTGTGGTGCCTTGTCTGAATTCCTGAGCCACAGAGTCAATGAGATATAAACCCAAGAGAATGACTGTCTCTACATGTTGCCCCTCCCCTACATGTCGGGTGGCTTGTTATGCAGCAGGAGTAACCGAAACCCAGCTAGCCAGGGACTACCCAGAATGCCACCCCCTCATCTGCTGGCCTGGGGGTCACCACTTCAACCACATGTGTGTCAGATGAGCCCAGGTGGATTTCCTCACAAGCCTCAGGGTGTCAGGAGGGGGTCAGTGCCCTCTCTCCTTTGACTCAGTGCGCCTGGGGACACCCCCTTCTCTGCACCCTGGAGCAGGAAACCCATGGATGAAAACACCTTCCAGTGTCAGCTCGTTGCTGCCATTGCTGTTAGGCAAAACACAAGAATTTTTATTCTTTGTAGAAAAGTTAGTGTGAGCAAATGGGAAAATAAAACCCACCCGCCACCTCCACCAGGTAGGGAAAGTGTCTAGAAACACAATTTCACCACATGCAGAGGAACTGCTGGGTCCCGGCCTTCCTCACACCGTGACAGACGGCAACCGGCTTCCCGTGTCTGTGCTTCCTCCTGGCCTTGTTTTCCAGGCGGGGAGCTTTTGTGTGGCTCAGGAGATCCTGGTCTGGGCTGAAACGCAGTAAAATCTTCTGAAGCACCATGAACCTTCCCGTCCTAATGTTCAGTGAGAGAAGCCAGGCAGGAAAACACGCATACAGTGTGACTCCATCGATATGAAGTTCAAAAGCAGTAAAATTAATCTTTGGGATTAGAACGTGGGATAGTGGTTAACATAGGGGGAGATTTACTGGGAGGGAACATGAACAGAGCTTCTGGAATGTTCTGTTTGTTCATCTGGGTGGTGATTACAGGCATGGCTCGTGTCACTACACTTTGCAGATAGTGTGTGTGTGTGTGTGTGTGTGTGGTGTGTGTGCAGACTAGCTCTGTAGTCTGTTGGCGCCATTTTCCCCAAAGCGTGTGCGTCTCTGTCCCATTTAATTCAGGTGGTTATGCTGTTTATTTAGACATAATGCTCTTGCGCACTTCAGAGGCCACAGTCTCGTGTAAACATAGCTTTGATACATACTAGAAAGCCAAAGATTCATGTGATTGGTTTCACTGTGATCTTTGCCTGCTGCAGGCCCCAGAACCAAGCCTGTACTCTTCTGCCTACCCGCGAGCTCGTCCTTTTGCTAAAAACTCACTGGATGGCGTGTGCACTTTGCTGTGCTGTTCAAGAAAAGACCACAGTGTGCAGAGAACGTGGCATTGCGAATGGAAGCACACATTTCCTGGTTGGGCCACCGATGGACATATGTAGATATTTAGAGGACTGGAGATGACTGACCAGTGTAAATAGAACCTTGGGCAAAGTCCTCAACCTCTCTGAGCCTCGCTTTCTTCATCCG